GGGGCTGGCTGGCATGTGGTGCTGGGGATTAAACCGCGGTCCCTGTGCTTTGCTAAGCTTGTTCTGAGTAGGTGCCTTAGACCACTGAGCCATCTCACCAGCCCCTATAAGACAAATTTTGACAGACATAAAAAATCAAATGAGTAATAATACAATTGTACTGGGGAACTTTAATGACCCAATGACACAGATAGATCAATGGGGCCGTGGAGATGGCTCAGAAGAATAAGTGCTTGCCTGGCAAGCGCAAGGGCCTGAGTTCAATCCCCAGTTCCAAAAAAAAAGAGACAGATCAACTACACACAAAAAAAAATCAAAGACATAACAGAACTAAACCAAACTTGTGAAGAAATGGATTTAGTATATCTTTACACAGTATTCCACCCAACAGCTGAACATGCGATGTTCTCCAAAATAGACCATATACCATATACTAACACATACAGCATGCTTGAGTAAATGTACTAAATGTACTAAATGATATATATATTATTTAGTACAGAGTCCACAGGGTCTATAGGCTCTCACTATGTAGATAGGACTTATAGTGTTCTTCCTGTTTACAGCCTCCCAAGCACTGGGATTATAGGCATACACCATCACGACAGGCCCAGGAGACTGAACCTCCAGCCCCTGAATCTGCCTAAGCAGGCACTTTAATCTGCTGAGCTATCTGGCCGGCCCAGTATCCCATGTCTATTATCTTACCATAGTGCCACAGGCAGGACAGTGTCATGTGGTTAGGGCTGGGGATGCAACTCATTAGCAGCATGCCTGCTTAGCACACAGGAGGCCCTGAGTTACCTCCCCAGCACTACAAAAACAACACAAGTAAAGCAAGCATGAGGAAAAGAAGAACATGTTTTGAGAATAATTGGAAACACAAACATAACAATAAAAAAAAAAAGATACAAAAAAAAAAAAAAAGTTAAAATGAGGCTGTGAGGGTAGATCTTAATCTAATTTGACTTATGTCCTTATCAGAAGAGGAAATTTGGAGCCAGGCTTGGGGGTACTTTCCTGCAATCTCAGAATTCTGGGTGGAAAGTATGAGCCCAGCCTGAGCAATTTAGTAACTTGTGGAGATCCTGTCTCAGAATTAAAAAAAAAGATGGGAAAAAAAAAAAAAAAAAAGAAGTGGTATTTCTCCATGTTAGATTTACATATGTAAATGCCATTTGATCACTAACAGTAATGGGGAAGATAATACTAGGAATGCAAGCAGGCCTGGGGATTAAAGGGAATCTTCTTAAATACATAGAATATATCACTATATACATACCTTAACCTTCCAAAGAGGAATCCCTGAACTTCATCAATGGGATCATGTTCACCAATGACGGTAGTATTTACTTCAGTTCCTATAAAACATAGTAAAAATACATGTCTAATGGGTCAGATTATGAAAATGTTTTAATCTCATAAAATCTGAATAATGCAAAACAAAGTCAGAAACACCTAAATTTCAATGCCATTTAATTAATATTTTGCAATAGGTCTTTAAATGTGTTTTAACATTCCTTGTGTTCAGAGGAGATTTTATTGTTTTTTTTTTTCTTAAAGGTAGTAGCTATTGAACACTAAGACTTAATGTTGATCTAACATCCTTGGCCTTTTTCATTTTTTATTTTGAGACAATAATCTAAAATCTTACTAAAACGCTGAATTGTCTAGGCTGGGTTCAAACTTGCGATTCTACTTCCTCAAACTCCCAGAGCACTGGGAATGTAGTATGCCCAGCAAGAATGTAGTTTTCTCTTAAACTTTAGAAAAGTTTACACACTAAAAATTTCAAAATTAGTAGCTTTTAGTACTATGAACAAAGGATTTTTCAATGACAAAATTTTGAAGAATCAAAATATTTTAAAAAGAAAAAACTTCTGAAGAATTTGAAGTTAGGCAACTTAATCCTAAATATAACTATTGGGGGAAAAATTATGGGGTACTATTAGTTTATTATCCATTTGTTTCATTACCCAAACTATTCTTTATGTTTAAAATAAACTGAAAGGGGGGCTGCTGAGATGGCTCAGTGGTCTAAAGCATCTACCAAGAACAAGCTAAGCAAAGCACAGGGACCGCGGTTCAATCCCCCAGCACCACATGCCAGTCAGCCCCGCCCCCTGGTGGGCTTAGCTGACCACACACACACACACACACACACACACATAAATAAAAAAAATTTAAAAAATAAATAAATAAACTGAAAGGGAAGCATATAAATCTCAACTGATAGAATGAATTAAAAACTTTACAATAATCAGACACAGGCCAGGGAGATAGCTCAGTGGAATAAGCGCTTCCCTAGCAAGCGCAAGGGCCTGAGTTCAATTCCCGGTTCCACAAAAAAAAAAAATAATAATAATAATCAGACACATGTGTGTGAATATTGCATCGTTTCGCTAGTGTAAGAAACTAAAATTGTAGGGCTGGTGAGATGGCTCAGTGGTCTAGGGCACCTACTTAGAACAAGCTTAGCAAGGCACAGGGACCGCGGTTCAATCCCTCAGCACCACATGCCAGCCAGCCCCGTCCCCTGGTGGGCTGAGCTGGCCACACACACAAAATAAATAAATAAATAAATAAATAAATAAATAAATAAATTATTAAAAAAAAAAAAGAAACTAAAATTGTAAA